GGCTGAGGAATTCTGGGAGTTGAAGTCCACAAGTCTTAAAGTTGCCAAGGTTGGACAACCCTGGTTTAAATCATACACAGCTTTGTCCTCTCCCTCTTTTTTCAACCAACAAAGCAAACCATAATCTTGTTTTTTGGTCATTGGAATATTCCCTCCTGGTGAACAGGTCGCTCTGAGGTAATTTCAGCACCATTTTTCAAGTAGTACATGTGCCTGTTCAGATTCTAACTCGGCACTGACGCGTGTTCAAAAAACCTGCTTTCTCATCCCAAGACAGTTCTTACCTGGTCCCCAAGACAGAGTATGTCCAGGGGTGTCAAATTCTGGAATCACTCGAATTCCACGCAGCCTGGCGTATTCAATCACCATTTTCACATCGTTAGGAGTGTATACGTGAGTGGCTGAGTTATAGGATCCCTAAAAATATAAATATACCTTTATATATATCAAAGGTTCCTATTGAATGGCAAGTCAAGGTAGAGTGAAGGAGCTACATCCTTCAAATCTTATACCGACGAGAGGACTATGGCTTGCTGGCTGAGATCTCGCTGTGACCAAAGGTTAGAAATGTTGCTGGCCCTCAAATAAACTGAGTGTCGACTCATAAAATATTTCTATGGTTTTTTTAGAGTTGCCAACAGAAAGGGAGGGGGGAAAGGGGTTTGAAAGAGCAGTGCGGCATCTTGGAAATCGAAAGTGCATTCCATAAATAGTTTTTTTCAAAGATGACTGAAGTTTCTGCCGCACAATTATCTAACTGGAGAACATGATTGATGACTCTGGGCTATGGATGTGTCCCATTGGAGAATATGAATTATGATACACCCAGAGGGGTAGGGGGAAAACCAGGCCCAAGGATGACAGTGAATGATGTGCCTCAGAGTCGGCTACACTCAGGCAGTGCCGGCATGCTAAACTCCCTATAAATCCGTTTGAAGTTTTGGAAGTTTGGCTCGAGACTCGTGATTTAACTGGGGGTAACTGCCGGAATCCTGACACCGAGGTACTTTCAAGTAGCATGCAACAATTGCAACCTCGTGGAAGAACATCACGGTCTGTGCCACCTTCTTGTCTTGATGTAGAAATCTTTTCTAGAAAAGATGGTCAGGAATGCTTGCGTGCCGCATGAATGTTATCTCGCACGGATCCCTCCTCTTCAGCTTCTTTTGGGAGAAGAACGCTGCAATGCGAAGGCTTCCCATTTCAGCGAAAGATGGCCCTTTTTTGCCCATTGCTGTCAATCTCAAATTGAGGGACAGGGGTTCAAAGGCCTCCCTGGGACATGAGGAATTGTTGTGGTTCTCCAGGAGCAGGTGCCGACGGCAGAGGTATCGGACAATTGAGGACGAAAGGGAACCAGTCAGGGTGTCTGGCGAGGACTTGGACGAAGGTCCTGCATCTGATGCAGGGATGGGACCCGTACCATTTGGGAGTGGGGTGCTGCCTCTGGAGTCGGGCGGCAGTGAAGCAGAGGACCCTGGGGAGCCTGTTCCCAGTGCACGTGGGCTGCTAGAAGGAGAGAGCAGCTGAAGCAGCAGGGGTGACTCGGGAGTAAGGCTGAGAGGGGATTGCCCCTTCCATAAGGGATAAAAACCAGCCCTCGGGGATGTACTCTTTGCAGGAAGCAAAGAAGTTCATTAGACTCCGATTCCTCATTGAAGCCCTGCGAACTCTGGTTTGTCTTTGCTGGAACTTCTGTCGGTTGATATTTCTCAGGACTCCTGTTTGTTGGCAGCCTTTTACAACCCTGAAAGGAGTGCTCTTATCTCAGACAATCGTGTTTAAATGAGTTTTGGCTGGGAATGCAAAGAATTCCCAGGGTTGCATTAAAAAAAGGTTTGCTTTTACACACGGCTTGTGTGTTTCCTCGATTTGAACGAAGCCTGGGTCAGAACAGGAATCCCCTCCACAAGCCAACTAAATGGCAGGGGGTTCAGTGGGAGATGTTTGGCCTGCTCACCTTCAAGCTGAGATCTGGGAAGACCAGGCTTTCAAACGGAAACGACGGGTCATCCACAATGTGCCAGTGGAACACGTTAAATTTGTTGTACGCCATGGCATCCTGAGGGAACGAGAAGAGGTTAGCAAAAGCTGCTGGTTCCTTTTCCTTAGCAAGAGTAGTGAGATGAAGCAAGAATTCAGCTACGGCTCAGAAAACCCGCAGAGGCCGTTAAAATATTCTGAACGTGGCGACTCCTAAGAAGTCTTCTTCGCCCATTACACCTCGCCCTGAAATATTGCTCCACGCGGGCTTTTTTCTTACACCGCAGAGCAGGGCTTCTCAACCTTAGCAACGTCCAACTCCCAGAATTCCCCATCCTCCATGGCTGAATGGAGTCCAACCCTAAACAAGAACACTACACTGATTGTCCTACCGTGTTTCCCCGAAAATAAGACTCTTATATATATATATATATATTTTTGCCACCAAAAAAAGGCATTAGGTCTTATTTTCGGGGGGATGTCATCCACTGACTAACCTGACTTGCATGCGTCGCCCCTGGCCTCCTTTTTTTGCTGTCAGAGGCCTTCAGGAATTTCTTCTGAGGCAGGCAAGGCTTTCCCTGAAGGCTTCTGCAGCTGATAACAGAGCTCTGGATCGATCCGGAGCTTTGTTTTCAACGATAGAGGCCTTCAGGAAAACCTTGCCAGCTGCAGAAGAAATGGGCCGTCAAGGCAGGTGTCGGGGTGTGCGAGGCCTGGCTACAACTGTCCGAAGGTAAGTAGTAGGGCAGCTCCACCCTGTGTCCCCACCCTAGCTTAATTTTTACCCGTGCACCCTGGGGTGAGTGGGATCTTAATTAGGGCTTATTTTGGGGGTAGGGTTTATATTGGGCGCACAGGTAAAAATCAAGCTGGGACTTACTTTCAGGGTAGGTCGTATTTTCGTGAAAACAGGGTACCAATCCTCCCATTACAAGTGCAGACATGAGGACACTTCCTCGCACTGACAACACAGAGCCACCTGAGCATAAGAGGAAAACATCAGAAGGTCCCAAGGTTCGTGGAGGTAAGATGATGGCGATGAGAGTCAGCCAACATAACAGCACGCTCATCTGACGCAAGATCTCTCAGGATCTTCTAGATTGCTTCCAGATTCACCTACCAGGGTCTCCAGGATGGCTCTCAAAGGCAGAAAATGGCGAGATGTGTCAAGGAGCAGACCTCGGTGAGGGAAGCGAGGGAAATCAATCACAACGGTCTTGTTGAGGTAGAACTATAGGAAGGAGAAGATAACACAGTTGACCCAATGTCCAGCGTAGACTTCTCCCAGGGATCTTGCCTTCTCTAGTGGGAGTGAAAAATCAGGCCACCTGTTTGGAGGACTGAACAAGCTCTTCAAGAATTCAGATCTAGGATTTATGAGATGCCACACAATTTTCCCTGGCCCCATGTTAAGCTGGAAAGTCCTTTGAAGAACAAAGGAACAACTAGCAAGGTGAATTGCAAGTGATAGCTCAAATTAGATCGAACTTCAGACTGGAAGGATAAAATGGGAGGGGAGAGGAGAGGGCATTCTTTATTGGCCAAGTGTGATTGGACACACAAGGAATTTGTTTCTGGTGCATAAGCTCACAGAATAAGCCAAGGGTCTTCAAACTTGGCAAGTTTAAGACTTGTGGACTTCAACTCCCAGAATTCCTGAGCTAACATGACTGGAGGAAGAATTTTGGGAGTTGAAGTCCACAAGTCTTGAACTTGCTAAGTTTGAAGGCCCTTGTCTTAATAGAAACATGTGTATTAACACTAGGATTAGTAATGGTGGCCTGACTAGAAGCTAGAATAAAGGTAGAAATAAGAAAGAGGGGGAATATTACCATATATAATTTTTAATATAATAGAATATAAGCTAACTAGATGGAACGATTAGAGCGAGGGTCTTCAAACTTGGCAAGTTTAAGACTTGTGGACTTCAACTCCCAGAATTCCTGAGCTAACATGACTGGAGGAGGAATTTTGGGAGTTGAAGTCCACAAGTCTTGAACTTGCTAAGTTTAAAGACCCTTGTCTTAATAGAAACATGTGTATTAACACTAGGATTAGTAACCTTTCCTAAGAGGTCTGTAGGGGGTGTGCATAAGCGCACCAACGTGCCTACCGTCCCTGTCCTATTGTTTCTTTTTATTTTTCTTATATGCATTCATTTCATGTATTTATAACTATGCTTATCCTTATCCTTATCATCTTGTAAGCGATTGACAAATCAAATAAATATAAAATATAAATATAAATACAGCTACGCCCAAACAAAGCAATTAACCACAGAAGTTGCAAACCCCTCCCTAATACCCCCTACTCACTGTCCCAACTTCGTCCTTCCAGGAAAGCTGGCTGAAGGTCTCCAATCCTATGCAGCAAAGCAGAACAACATCCATCACGCCAAAAGTCAGAGCACCAAGCTACCAAGGCAGCGGTGGAAAACTGTCCCCACCCCTCGTCTTACCTCTGAGGGCACCCCAGATATTGGGGGCTGTGAGTAGCATCAGATCCACTGAAATGCTGAGCTTGTCTGGAAGTTCATTTGGAGAACAAAACAAGCAGTCGAGTTAAGAAAATGTTTTTAAAGCTTGGAAGTTGGCATTCTGCAAAAACCTCACCCCTTTCCTAAGAGGGCTGTAGGGGGCCTGCATAAGCGCACCAACGTGCCTACCATCCCTATCCTATTGTTTCTTTTTATTATTCTTATATGTATCCATCTCATGTATTTATAACCATGTTTATACTTATATCTATTATCTTGTAAGCGATTGACAAATCAAATCAAATCAAATCAAATCAAATCAATAAATAGTCTTTGTATTAGGAGTAAGGATTTATAATTTCAGGGGTTGCTTTGGGAACAGGCGGCCTGCACAGACTAAAACTGGGAAGCTCCCCTAAAATCTGGACAGCCATTTGGGGTTGTTTAGAAGAGGTCCAGTTTTGGTCCCCATGTTACAAAGAAGATGGGGAGACTTTGGAGAAAGTGCAGAGAAGAGCAACGAAGATGATTAAAACAGACTAAAACATATGAAGAATAGTTGGAGGACCTGGGTATGGCTAAAAGAAGGACTAGGGGGTGACATGACAGCAGTATTCAAGTATTTGAGGGGCTGTCACAAAGAGGAGGGGTCAACTTATTTTCCAAAGTACCAGAAGGCAAAAGAAGAAACAATGGATGGAAACTAATCAAGGAGAGAAGCAACCTGGAATTAGGGAGAAACCTCCCATCAGTGAGGACAATTAACCAGTGGAACAGCTCGCCACCAGAAGTTGTACATGCTCTATCACTGGAGGTTTTTAAGAAGAGACTGGACAGTCTCTTGTCTGAAATGCTGTAGGTTCTCCTTCTTGAGCATGGGGCTGGACTAGAAGACCTCCAAGGGTCCTTCCAGCTCTATTCTGATTGATAAAGGTGTGAAGATGTAGCTTTTCCCTCAGGTCTTTGGCAAGGGAGGCTGAGACCCCCCCCTCACTTCAACCCACTTGCCATCATGTTTTATTGATCTTATTGTAATTTTTTTTTTCATTCGTTTCTTTGAAGCGCCCAGAATCTTTGGGAGTTTGGGCAGCACACAACTTTTAATGAAGAATACAACATTTTAAAGTGTGTTACAGAACTATTATTAATTTGGAGGAAAAAGAGAAAACTCATGGGTTGTCCCTAAATGGTTCCACCCCTATTCTTATTCTTTCCCCAAGTATTACAGATGTTTTCCCCAACCCAAGTTGACCGCTCCTAGATAAGAATATTCCTGACTTCCTGTCTTTGAAAATAAAACTGCAGATGGCAGCCAGGTAGGGATTAAGGATGTCTTAAGGGCACCCTGCTGACCGTAAACTCAACCCAGCCATGAGTGTTAAGATAAGACGCCATTCTCTTACAGTTCTCTGGAGATTCAAGGGTGGGATAGCCGCTGCATCCTGCTTGGGCCACGGAGACGAGAAGGTTAGGACACAGGTTCTCCACATTGCTCCCTGCAATAGAAAATCTTCTATATATATAAAAGCCAAAGACCACTCACGCATCATCACAAAATCTCCAGAACCGTAAAGCCTACAAACTTGAAATTTGGCACCTATGTTCCTCTTGGCTTCTAGGTGCTCACTAAGAAAGATTTTTCTCGAAATAACCATCAGAGCATTAGTATTTCGTATATTATTATTAACACGCTCTGATGCTAAGGAGTTCTACTCCCCCTCCTCACCTGGAAAGAAATCTGTTCCAAATGCAAAACACAAGCCGAGGAGAGGAGTTTTAGTTTCAGTTTTAGTTTCATAGCACCAAGCAGCTTTAGTACAGAACAGCTGAGCTAAGCCATGCCCAGACTCCTTGCTGTCTCCTTGCTCACACAGCAAATACTGTCTGTTTCCAAACAGCCCTCAACTCTCTCACACACAGACAGGACGCTAGCCAGATGAATACTGATGGATGCTGGTAGGCAGAGGCAGAATTCCCGCCCCCCCTTATTTTCCTCCCCAAAAACTAAGCCCGACCACATAGTTTCGTAGTGAAGCACGGGTATCAAGCTAGTTGGGAATAAAGCAAGGGAATCTCTCCAAGTAGCAGTTACTTGGAGAGTATTATTAAAAATAAAAAAACAATTCATTTTTTAAAAAACAAATCAGTCTTAAAAGCTTAGAATATTTTAAAATGAAAAATAAGAAAATACAGTTTTTGTGATTCCTAGTCTACTTGAAGGCCTGACGTGAGGAGGTTGAGGCTGGTAAGGCGAGAGGGGGCTGTTTTGTAAAGATATCACAACTACCTCAGGCCCTAATCTTTTGGGCACCAGGGACCGGTTCCATGGAGAAAATTTTTTTCACAGATCAGGGTGTTTCATCCTATGGATGGGGCTTGTTTGCACGGCCTGGTTTCTGGCATACTGTGGCCCAGTGCTGGACTGGTGTTGGGGACCCCTGCACTAAGATATTTGCCAAGTAACTGCGAGTTCAGGAGGGTGGAAGGAAGAAGCAAGAATATTAAACCTAGAACAGTGGTCGCCAACCAGTGGGCTGGGGACCACTGGTGGTCCGTGAGAAAATTTTGGTGGTCCGCAGAGAAATGTCACCCCCAAAGCATCCCCCAAAGCAATTAATCCAGGCTGCACAGGAACACAAGGCCCGCGGGAACACAAGGCTTCCGTCGCTTGCATTGCAAACAACACGAGGTAGTGAGGGGAGGGGGAAAGGGCGGAGGGGGGGGGACTTGCCCCTCTCATCCCATGTGCCTTGCCTGGCCACCGGGCTGCTTCTTTCCGCTTCTTTCTTCTTCTGCTTTTGGCTGCACGCAAGGAAAGCAGCAAAAGTCTTTCTTTCTCTCCCCCAAACTCTGCCAGAAATGAGTCTTTGGGACCCTGCAAGGCATCCTGCTCCAAGAGGCTGCGCCAGCGCGACAAGTCTCACAAAGACTCATTTCTGGTGGAGTTTGGGGGAGAGAAAGAAAGACTTCTGCTGCTTCTGCTGCTTTCCTTGCATGAAGCCAAAAGTCTCTCTCTCTCTCTCTCCCCCTGAGAACAGAGCTGAAGACGGTATGGTGCCATCCCAAATAAAGAATGGTCGATCGATAGGAAAACGGGGGGAGGAATTTTCCTGCAGACTTTTTTGGGGATTTTCCCAGGATCTATGGTCCGCGGGATTTAAAATTATGAGTTTGATGGTCCCCGAGGTCCAAAAGGTTGGCGACCCCCGACCTAGAGAACTGACCTACAAGTGTGTCTGCTTTTGCGCTGCAGTGGGCAATCGCGTCTCTACTTCAGCCCATCAGGATCTGTGGCCCTCAACTTATGACTGGTTGCTTAACAACGATTCAAAGTTACGACAGTCCCACAAAAGCCCCTTCTGACCCGTTCCTGAATTTATGACACACATATCCCTTGTGGTAACCTGATTGCCTTTTGTGTTCTTGGCAACGGGGTTCACCTTTACGGCCATTTGCATCTTCCTGCAGTTGTGTGACTACCATTTGCAACATTTGTTTTGCTGGTTTTCAGCATTTACTTTTGATGATTCCAGTAAAAAAAACAACAACCCAAAACACCCATTGGGGAAAATTGATTTGACGAATGACTGTTGCAAAAAAAATGTTGAAAAATTATATTCAGTCACATGTCTTGATTTGTGACAGTAACGACTTACAACTGTAATTCTGGGCTCCATTACCATCACAAATCAAAGACAGTCTGTACTGGTAAGTCAAGCAGAGAAATTGAAGAAGCAGCTGAGTGCCTGCAGGCCAAGAATAGGTGTGAAGTCTCACAGCAGACTCAGACGGACTTTTTGGAGATTGCAATATTCTAGGAGAGAATGCCAAATGTGGTAGGAAACTAGAAAACAAAGGGATGAGGAACTCTGATCAGCTATAACCTGCTTGTGACAACTCATTTTTATTACTTCCTCCTTTTACCATTAGGAAATTCTTTGCTTATGGAACCAGCTAAAGTCAGAAATGTTTTGGGTGATCAGATTTGGAGTGCAAAAATCCAGGAGAACTGGTAGCAAAGAGATCTTGGCCATCCAGACTATTTGCAATATTTGGTCATTCTATACCAGCGGTTTTTCAGCCTTGGCTACTTTAAAAAGCATGGACGTCGACTCCCAGAATTTCCCAAGCTAGCAAGAAGACCATATGACTTAAATGGCCAAGGTTGAAAAAAAAGGCTCTTTAGTGAACGTGACTGTGTTTTATAATATTTTATGACCGGCATTTACTTTGCTATGTTTGTTTAATGTTTGCCACAAAAAGTGGCAAGAATTGGTTTGGTTTGATCTGCTTTTTGAACATCCCAATTTATAACTGTAATTGAGCCTGGCTCAATTACAGCCGTAAGTTAAACATTACTAGTATGCAAGACCTGTTCACCCTAGCCAAAAGGGGCTGAAATATTTAATTCCAGAGCAAATGAGATGACCTATGGAAGCAGCAAAGACAGCCACTTCCTTAATTTGCAGAAGTATAAGGGGAGGGAGGTGCAAGATTTTGTTATTAGAGCCACTCTCAATTTAAAAAAAAAAAAAAAGGAGTTTGCATTCCTGCTGAGTCGATTCCTTGATTTGCCTGTTGGCTTCGTCAGCTGCTTCCTGGAGAAAAATGCTCAAGATCACAACTATGAGAGATACACAATCTTGCATTTTTTGGGTGTAGGGTTTTGGCCACTTCAAAGGGATTTATTTCCAAGTCAGCAGACATGGGAATTCTGCTTTGTTCCAGAGGATGATTACCCTGTTCTTATCTGAAAAGTTCAGATTTCTGGCTTATTTTGAAATATGCCAGGCTGCCACGCCAACCTAGATCAAATGGGTTTTGGAAAAGGAGGGGGGGGTTGCACAGTTATGTGCGAATTTTGTCCAGCTTCAGGATGTCAGACAAGGAACAATGGATGGAAACTGAGTAAGGGGAGATTCAACCTTGGAAATAAGGAGAAACTTTCTGACAGGGAGAACAATCCACCCATGGAACAGAAGTTTCTTTTGGAAGTTGTGGGAGCTTCATCACTGGAGGCTTTCAAGAAGAGATTGGACTGCCCTTTGTCAGAAATGGTGTAGGGTCTTCCGCTTGGGCAGGGGGTTGGAATAGATGACCTACAAGGTCCCTTCCAACTCTGATGATCTGCTGTCTGTTTTGTCAGCTCTTGGGCAGGAGAAAAGAAGGGAAAGGTCTACTGGGAGGGCTGGGGGTCGCACAAAGGTAGACTCCAAAGTTCTTTTATCCTGTTGGCTGTGCAGCAACACCTCAACCCAACCAAAGGATTGGCCAACCCAAGCGAAACCCCAACCGAAGCCCCCTCCCCCCCCAAGGGAAAATCCTAGCGAAGCTCCGCAGAGAGAATATAGATCGTATGAACGCGGCCGCTGCGCACCTTTGCTGCCCGGCATTAACAAAGCGTGCACAAAGAGGGGCGCAAGCAGGACCCCAATTGCGCTCCTCCCTCCCTCCCTCCCCCGCTGTCCCCCCCTCCCCTCCCGCACCTGATGGCTCCTTGTGCCCGGGCGGGAAAAGCAGCTGCCAGTAACGTTGGAACGCCCCGTCCAGCACTTCGCAGCCGGGCGCCACGGCCGAGCCGTTGGCATAGGAGAATCGGAACTGCCGGGAGCTGAGCCGGCATCGGCTTTGAGGGTCCTGGAGGAGCCACTGCGGCTGCGGCCACAGGGCAGCGCCCAAACCGGCGGCCAGGAGCAGGAGCAGCGCGCCCGCCGTGCCCGCCATGCCTGCAGCAGATGCGGCGGGGCTGCCCCGCTGTGCCTAATAGCAGGAAGAAAGCTTCGGGGATCACGTGACGAAGCCCGGGCCTGTGACGGGAGGCTGGCAGCGACCCCCAGCACGTGCTCGGCCGACGCCCGCTGGGGGGGGGGGGGAGTTTCGCGGGTGGCCGGAGAGATGGCTCCGCGCGCTTCTTTCCTTTTTTCTTCCTTTTTCTCTCTTCCTTCCTTCCTCCTCTCTTTTCTTTCTTTTTTCTTCCTCTTCTTTTTTTCTTTTTCTTTCTTTCTTTCCTTCCTTTCTTTTTCTGTTTCTCTCTCTCTCTTCCTTCCTTTTTTCTCTTCCTTTTCTTTTTCTTTCTCTTCTTTCTCTCTCTTCCTTCCTTTCTCCTCTCTTTTCTTTTCTTCCTCTTTTTTCTTTTTCTTTCTTTCTTTCTTTTTCTGTTTCTTTCTCTCTCCTCCTTCCTTTTCCTCTTCCTTTTTTTCTCTATTCTTTTTCTCTCTTCCTTCCTTCCTCCTCTTTTCTTTCTTTTTTCTTCCTCTTCTTTCTTTTCTTTCTCCTTTCTTTTTCTGTTTCTTTCTCTCTCTTCCTTCTTTCTTTTTCTTTCTCTTCTTTTTCTCTCTTCCTTCCTTCCTCCTTTCTTTTTCTTCCTTCCTCTTTCTTTCTTCCTTTCTTTTTCTGTTT